CTTTCACGGCACGATTTCACTGCGTTTCCACCGATTTCACCGCTTTTCCACCGGTTCCACTGCACCCGCCACGTGGCACGCACTGCACCCACGCATGAAACCCACTTTTCACTGCAGCCACTGCACGCACGGCACTCACAGACACTCCACGGCACTCCCACAGCACTTTCGCGGCACTGCACGGCACAATTTCACCGAATTTTCCACGTTTTTCACGATTTTTGCAGCACCGACGGCACGTGCGTCGTAGCGTCGGTCCGCCATCTTGGAAAAGGCCGATTCACGCTACCGCATCCCGGATTTCGGTTGGCACCACTTACCTGTTGCGCACTTCCGCTTCGAGGATTAGGTTGGCACTCCTTCACTGACGTGTTATCCATTCAGTTGGCAGTTCTGCGATTAATGACGCACAGCCATCTTGGTTGCCGTTATTCGATGACTGATTATTCTTCGCACTACTACATTCCTTTGTATTTTTAGCCTCGCTTTTCTACAGCAGCAGCCATCTCGGTTCGGGTTGCTGCGTCGCTCATAACTGTTGCGAATATGGTACTGCTTCGGTCAAACGACTTTTAGGTTGGCGGTACTGAATTATTCCCGAGGTTTTTTTTCTGCAGGTTGGCAGTCCATCACTACCACCGTACCCGTCATGTTGCCACTACTGCGGTTACTGCCTCACGACCATCTACATCTCATTTCCTCCGTGACTCTACGGGGTTGGCAGCATTGCATCAGTGCTAAGCGACGTTCGGGTTGGCAGTGCTGAAATACCGTTCACATCTGATCCAATAATAAAGTTGGCGATCTTTCACTGCCTCATTACCCATGGTGTTGACATTTTGCCCGACCATCTCGTTTCCCGCTGCTCAGTGACTTATTCGTTGAAGTTTTTATTGCTGCCGAACGACGCACCACACTTATATTGGCAATCCTCCGCTCGCGCAATTTTCCTCAGGTTGGCACTCTTGAGTTGCTGCTTGCTGGTGCACAGCCGCCTAGATTGCCGATATTCTGTGACTCAATGTGGTTGGCAGTACTTAGGTGGCGATTACTCTCCGTTCGCCAATTACGTTGGCAGTCTTTCCTTGTCGCAATTTGCATACAGTTGGTATTTCTACAGTGAAGCCTGTTGACCGTCGTCGTTCCAGGTGCTCTCGGACTCACTGAGGTTGGCTATTCTGATTCGCGGCAATGTATCTTTCAGGTTGGCAGGTTTCGATTCCTTTACTCTTTGAGGTTGGCACCACCGAAACACCCCTTCACGCCGATGCGTCCAAAGCGCTGACCATGTAGAGTCGCCAAGGTTTCGTTCACATTGATGCCTATACACGTTCACATTAGTACCTCTACCTATTCACATTGATTCCTCTGTCACGTTCACATTGATGTCTATACCGATTCACATTTCCTTCGTTTCGTTAAAATACCGCTAAATCGATTTCTTTTCTTTTTTTTTATTCCTTTTTATTCGTTTTCTTTGTATTTCCGGGGCTTTTCGAAATTTTCTTGCCTTCTTCGAGGTCTTTTCGAATTTTCTTCGCATTTTTTGTTTTACAAGTTGGCTTTTCCGAAATGCGGCAGAGTATTTCGTAGGTTGCCAGTTTCGAAGTCGTTCGCTCTTGGAGATTGGCACTGCCGCGTTAATGCTTCATGACCATCTTGATACTATCTGCTCTATGACTATTTAGTGTTGGCACTATTGCATTCCTTTACATTTTCAAGTTGGCACTGTTACACCGCGACCCATCTAGCTCTAATGTAATCTATGACTCATTACGGTTGGCTATTCTGTATCGTGACTTTCGGGTTGGTAGTCCTCAACAAACGCTTTTTGCGGCGCCACCCATCTCTGTTCTGCCTGATCTGTGACTGACGGTAGTTGGCGATACTGAAGCGGTGCAGCTTAATACTTTGTGCCTCTCACATTTCGTGTTCAATGCTCATCGTTTCTACAGAATCGCTGCTCTGTCAGACTGAAATTTACATTTCAAGCACGGAAGACACATTCTCTCAGTCTCTGGTGTGCGTGTTAATTTTCATTTTTGAGATAAAATATATTTCTTACATAACAAGAGAAAAAAAAACAACAATATTTACAGAATGTGAATTACAAATTTAACAGCATTTCGTTTCTTCAGTGTATTTATTTATTTCATCATGAAAAGTAATGTAACAAGTTTCAATTTCAGTTATTACTATTCACAGTTATTTTGAAAATATCAAATACTTATGTATTACAAAGAAAGAATATTTTAAATAAGTGTTTATATAAAAAAGAAAGAAAAAAAGGTTGTAAGGAGAGTTGGTTTTTTTTTACTTTCTTAATTCCCCACAGCACGATATATTTTTTTTTTTTTTAGCGTATATTTTATTGTACTCGAACAATTGACGATGACATAAGCAATGTGTTTTCCATGTTTTAACATTTATTACCAAATTTTCACGTATTAAACAATGTCAACATTCTTGAGAAACAAGCTTGTTGTAATTAAATTTGAGACAATTTCTATAGTAGGTGTGTTGAATACATACATATACAGATATACAATTTATATATGCATGTATGATTATAATTCGAAGACAGTGATATTTCGAGTCAATCCCAGTCGTAATATTTGAAAAGAAAAAAAGAAATCGGTTAGCACTGTCTTACAACTATCGCATACTTTAATTACAGTTGCGTTTAAGTTGTTCCAAATATTTTTTTCTTTTTCAATTATTATTATTACTCGGTCACAGGCTTCTTTAATTCTGCTGAGGTGGATCAGGATCGTTCGGATTTCCTCCCATTTGCCGTCTTATAGATTCTATCAATTCCGGGTTGGTACTTTGCAACTGATGCGCAAACTGGTGACCGCTACGAAATCATTGAAAACGTACGTTTTTATATCGTGTTGTACACTTTCGAAAATTATAAACAACACTTACGCTTCCAAAAGGGCGTCCATGCGTACTCCTTGTTCTGCGTTCTCGCTTATGAAATTGCCCACCATGTTTTGGAGGGCTTGATCGGACAACATTTGACGTACTATATTCATAAGAGCAGGGTTACTCAAGAGCGAACTAAAATCCATACCTGGAAACACACCTCCGCCCAGTCCCAAATTGCTCATCCCCTGCTGAGCCAGTTTCTCTTCTGCTACTTGTACATTATTTTTGTAACTTTCGTTATCGGGTTCCATGTCTAGAGCTTTTTGGTAGCTTTCTTTAGCTTCTTTGTGTCTATCCAAGCTCGAGTACGCTAAACCTAATCGACCGTAAGCTTTGCTGTACAAAGGATCGATGGACAATGCCGTGTGACAATCTTTAATGGCTTGTTGATGATTGCCAATTTTACTATACGCTGCAGCACGGTTACAGTAATATACTGCGTTTCTGCCATCTAACTGAATCGCCCTGCAGAACAATATTTCGTTTATAAGTTGTATCAATATATATATATATCTAATGATGAAATACAAGACGTATACTTTGTATAGTTAGCAAGCGCTTCATGGTATTTTTCAGCTTTCATAAGCGCGTTGCCTTCGTTCTTTAGTCTTTCGGCTTCTGCTTTCGCTTCCGGAGTAGCTTCTGGAACTTGAGGTCTCGCATTCTCTACGGCCGATTTGTATACTTCGTATAGATTAAAATTTGCTGGAGTATCGGATGCTTGCAGGTTGTAGGCACTCTCTAAACATTGTATAGCTACTTCCAGGCTTTCTCGCGAATCCGCTATAATATCGCCATCCTTCAACTGTTGTGTTAAAAACTGAACAATCGCCGCGACTAGCCCTTTCACAGCCATCACCGTATTGAAACAGTCTTAATATCTGTACGAACAAAAACAATTTATAAAGTACACACGCATCGTGATCACCTACTTAATTAGCGATGCTCTTATTAATAATTTTAAATAATATGTAAAAAAAGAAAAAAAATTTTAACTATCGCGAGAAAACGATGGTATTTCACCACATTTTCCATGTTTCTAACAAAGTAAGACATTCGTTACTAATACATTAATACGTGTCATAACCTCAAAATTCAATTTTCGTTAGAACATTTTTAAACGATGAAAAAGACTAATTCCGATAATAAGGTGATAGATGTCATAATGAATAAACTTTTAATAACACTGTGAGAATTACATTGAAAGATCATAATATCCTCTATTATGCCGATTCACCGTAAATTCACATAACCAATAAAACATGCCGGACGAAAAAACTTTGTCGATAATATTTCGATCGTTTCGAACTAATGGAAATGTTTGAATACCTTCGATTATAGGAAATATCTTCGATTATACTGAATTATAAATATTAAGTAGATTACCATTCGTATATACAATTCGAGACGAACAAAACTGTTTCGTTTATACGTAATGGTACACTGACAGTCGAACTTTAAATCGTCAGGCCTGAAGGATTTCGAATCATTTCGTGCGGGAAGAGACACTTTTCGTGATTGATTATACCTTGATACTTTAACGTAGTGTCCTATTAGAATGACGGAGGAACTTCAATGTAGATATTTCAATGGCCACCACTTCGTGAAGCAGTAAAACCTTGACGGTTCTGGTATTCGCGATTATACATATGTATGGATTCGATACAACTGTGCAACTAGGTACCTTCCGAAATAATTACGACCACGAAATGTAATTACCGACGGTACTTTCTTTCCGTCGATTTTATACTCTATTATTTGTTTTCTCCTCGAATTTCTTTCGTGCAAACGAACAAATTAAACTGTAATCGTTCTATCGGAATTGCGCCAGCGCAATTCGTTCGACGCTAAGCCCGCTTCGAAATAAAATCGTTTGAAGCGGCGTATTTACGTACAATACATTGCATTTTATTCGCAAAAGTATTATTGGCCAGAAGTTGAATGCAACAAACGATATAACCATTCGCTGTCTAAATATACTCTTACGTTGCAAATATTGTTACTACGATTTACGAGGAAACATGCTGTATAAGTTTTGGATCGAGAGAAAGTCATTTCTCTTGCATACGAATAAATGATTAAGAACACGGATTGATTTATCCTTCCGCGACAAATGCGGATACAATATATTTCTTAAAGCGAACGTTCTAAACAAACAGATTTATCGAAACGTTAGCGTGGTCCTTGTTGTACGATTCTCAATATCGTACTGTTTCCACTAGTACCGACGAAAACATAACTATTTCCTAAATACTTAAATGGTGATACACTTTGCAAATCATCTATTCGATGATGAGATTTCATCTGAAATTTCTGAAAGTGAAATTTAATCTAACTTATCGATGGATATATAAATATAGGTATAATTTTGCGTATATAAAAATGTACGAAACTTTATCGGTTTTTTGTTTTTTAAATGAACCCTTACCTGAGCATACGTATATTTGTAAATGTAAAATTGATCGTTGATCGTTGTGACGATAACGAAAGAATCGCTTTCACCGTGCTCTACAAACAAGGAACGAGAAAAACAGATTCGAAAAATTACTATTATTTCAGTGGATTATCGAGATTGTCGTTCTTACCACCCGAGTAGAAAATTTCTATTCCTTCGATCGGCGAATCATGAAACAGGCTTTGGTAATTGTAAAAATTATCATATTCCGAATCATAATGGAAGATATTTACAGCGCTCGTATCGTAATCGTCCAGTAAAATGAAATGATCCTCTTCTCGACGTAGACTTTTTGCGTTACGTGTTTTACCTCCGAATGTTCGGACCGTTGTAAACTAGAATATTACATTTTTTTTTAAATTACTGTCGATATATCTTGTTTTACCTTTTAATGATCGATAAAGATTTACTTCGGATGTAAGGGTGTTTAACTTGTAAAGAAAAGATTTTTCCGACTTTCCGAAGCATCCTACGAGAAGATATACATCGTGATGATTTGTTTGAAAGATTTCGATAGCCGAGGCGCCATCGGTGTGCAATTCCTGTTGTAACGACAACGAATTCTTCTCTAAATCAATTTTATAGATTAAGGAACTTGCGCGACCTGTCGCGAATAACGTATCGTAGTCGATTGCCAATACGACAAAAGCTGCATCTAGAACCGATAAATTAACATCCAGTTTCAAAGGGAATTATACGTTTCTGATATCGATTGAAAATGATTTGTATCGGAAGCACGGTAAAATTTAGTTCGCATACTTTCGTGTGTCGCAAAAACTTTTGCATCCTTTATAAAGCCATGAATCCGTGGAGACGATTCACCCGTGTTAGCTAAAACGTCTCCTGTATCGATTAATTGAAATTTCATCCAGGAAATCGTGATAAATTCATCCTCGCTTTTGTTTCTAACGCAATCTCGATTGTTTCCTATCGTATTCGTTATCACGTTCACGCCGAATGCGTTGCGCGATTCGTGATAATTTCGTACAATTATGGTACCGTTCGTTTTACGAATACGACATCCATCGTTGGTAAGTTCAGCAACGTATTGCGTAGGACAAGAACAGTTATCGGGAAGTCCGCAAGATGATCCTGGTTCTTCTCCGAACATATTCAATTTTGTTGTTTTTTCGTAATAAACGATATCGACTTTCTTAACGTTTGGTACTTGGATTTTCAATCGATCTTCTTCTTCGATATAGGAAAAAATATTTCCCATGCTCGAAGATATTAATGCGGACTCTCGAATTTTCTCGTTTCGTGCGCTTTCATTTCGTTCGAACGTTTGCACGGTTTTCTCGACTATTTTTTCCGAATCAGCGAGAACGGTGTGCAAATATATCCCGTTTATCAGTTTTGAAACGTACACGTTTTTTGGAACGTTAACGGTTGACGTGAAAACCTGCAGGAGTACAGATACAAGAAAATTCGTCGAAGAAAAATCTACGATTTGTTATCAGAAATTCTAGTCGAACATGGAGTAAGGAAGGATTGTTTTACCAAATCTCCGATTATTTCGACGTCTTCGTCCGTTTGTATACCACTCTTGTATTCCGAAGATATATCCATGTTATTGATCAATTTTGTATTGATGTTACCCTGTACCACGACATCTTCCTCGAAAATCTTTGAGCCGGATATCAACTGCGTTTCTTGCATTCCGTTCAAGATCAGATCCGAAGGATCAATGCCGTTGATTTGCGTCACAGTCGCGTTTCCTAAGATACATATAAGTAGAAATTAGTATCTAGAATGTCTCGCGAGACCCGAGTATCGTGTTCGTTTACGCCGTTTCGCGTTGCGATCGAGTGCGTGCCGAAGAAATCGTAACCAGTTCGAGTACGTATATGTATATGTATGTATACGAGTAGTCTAAAGAACGCTCGCTGTGCCCGAACAACGAGTACGCGAATAACGTACATTTAAAGCTGTACCTGTTACTTCGATGATATCGTTGAATTGTACATCGATAAATATTTCGTGATCTTTGTCGGTAGTTATACGATTTTTCATGAATTTGTCGAAATCTACTCCGTCTAGATTTTTCAAGGATACATCCTCCGACACGATAAGATTCTTGAACGTAACTCTGGGCAACGTATCGGTTGCTAAGGTTAATCCTTCCAAAGGAACGTTATCGACATTATCGTCGACGAGAACTTCATCGATCGTTACTTCGTCTCGGAAACTGATGGGCTTCGTTATCGTCACGCTTTCATCTTTCTTCGCCACAGAGTTGTTGAATTCGATAATGCTGATATTATTAATTATAGAAATATTCGTTCCGCCGGTTACCAACAAATTATCGATAGTAACGATCTTGTTAAAAATCTTGACACTGTCTACTTGAATAATGTCATCATCGTCTTGCACGGTATGTTCTACGATATCGCGTATTTCGTCTATATCTTTAATCGTCCCTTCTACTCTTGATGCCGACGCATCGTTCTCGAAAACGACCTCTCCTAGTACGGCTTGATCGGTACTTTTGGTCATTCCATTTTCCAAGAGAAAAGTTAAAGAAGGCGAACGCTTCAATGAAGAATAAGAGATCCAAGAAACGTTTCCGTCTACTTCCAACGTATCGATGTTTGACACTGGCAAGTTCAACGGGCTATTGTATAGCTGAAACGATAAGTTTTATGATTAAAAAGATTAATTCGACGATCTGTTCGAAGTGTTAATATTTAAAACGTTACCTCGTTAACATCACGACCATTTAATGTCTTTGTTGCAACGTCTCCTTCTACGATCAAATCCTCGAACGTGATATTTCCCGTTAAAAACAAAGGTTTATCGATCCACATCGATTCAGAAGTGTTTTTCTCGTTGACGAATTTGCTTTCAACGTTTTTGGTAACGATCTTGTAGAATGAGAAATTTCCGGGCACCACTTGTTCCCGGGATTTGGAAAAAACACCGTCAAACAGATCTTTCGAGTTGTAGCCGTGCAATGATTCTAGAGTAGCGTTCCGAACAGTTAACTCGTCTACTGTTAATTTTCTTGTAAACACGATATCTCCTTTTACCATATTTCTCAGGTAAGTTATTGCCGATTGATCGTCGATTCGATCGATTTCAATGTTACCGTTCACCGTCAGATCATCGTCTATTACCAAGTCTTTTAAATCGGATATCTGTATATTCTTCGTAAATATCTTCATACTAATATCGTTGATTTTTTCAACGTTTAGATTTTCGACATGAAACTCTGGCGCCTTGAGAAATGTTGTTTTTCCATCTTTCTCAGAATTGTTTGCGCCTCGTAAGAAAGTTGCGCTATCCGTATCGTTGAAGAAGTGGAACCGTAACTCCTTTGCGTTGACTCGTTTCGCTCGAACCGTAGGAAAATTGGTCGTTCGTGAAAAATTCGATAGTTTTCCGTTCGATATATCGGTAATGAGAAAATCATTGTAAATTTCGGTAAACAATTGATTTGTATGCAACTGTTTAATGGATAATTTCTTTTGAATAGACAGCGATTCGGGAGCAACTTGGAAAATGCTATTGTTCTCTTGTTTCGTTAATACCGTGTCCTCTACGTGAACATTTTCAAAGTGTAGTTTCTTGAAAGTCTGTGGAATCGTCGTCGCGTTCGTGTACAAGAATTCATCCCCCGTGAATCCGTTTAAATACTTCGTCTGCAGACGATCGACGGTGATGTTGTTCTCGAATGCGACGCTGTTTTCGATGGTTTGATCGGTTGATTTCGTCCACAATGTTTTTGAGATGTTGTTCAATTTAAATTCTTCGTTGTTCAGAAATATTGTTGTATGTTTATCTACGTCGAGAGTCGCAATCTTCGCGTTGCCATTAACGGTAACGTTGTAGTAAATTTGATGTTGAGCTTCGGGTAATCCGAAATGTGAATCCGCTGTTAGCTTGCCCGTAACTTGTAATCTTGCGATTTTCACTTTGCCTGCAAAATAACATATTCTCGGTGATCTTTTAATACTTTGTTATGACAAAACCTATCCTGACCGATTTTCCTGGTTGCTGTAAAGTAAAAAATTTCATTGTTATTATTTGACCGATACCTTTGATTACATTCTTATTGGAAATTCGTGCCGCTTCTGAAACTGGAACACTATTTATCGAAATCGCGTGCAATTTGTTCAGCTCGAATGATTTTATAGTAAAAGAATCGAAATATTGATCGGTACTTGTAGTCATGTAATTATGAAATGGTTCTCCGTTTAACGTTTGCATCGTAACGTACTGAATTTGTAACATATCGTTGTAGATAACATCACCTGTGGAACATTTCGTTTAAAACAATTCGATTTGTTTCCATCGAATTAATAGTACTTGTTCGAGTCTAGATCGTTACTTTGGAGTTTCTTTTGATTTTTATAAAAAAGTTCACCTTTAATCTTTTGATTTTTATCGATGATAAATAACTCGCCGAAGAATTCGTCTAAATTAATATTGTTCAATGTTATCGCGTTGAAATTTTTCGTCGAGATGTTCGAATGCAAGACTACCGTGTCATTTGAAAATACAGCCTTGTCCGCTGCAATGTCTATCGCTAGTCTTGACGTGTCGTTATTTAGTACCCAATCTGTAATAATTTCGTCGAAAATACAAACAATGTCAAAATTGAAATGCCAAATTCATCGGTACATAACGTTCATCCAAGGATCACATAGAACTTACGTTGATATGGAATTCCGCAAAGCGATTTTATTTCAATGTTCTCGATAATAATGTTATTTCCACGTAACGAGGATTCCTCGGTTTCATTCGAATCGATGATGTCGTTCGAATGCGTATCGAAGTCGTTGAAAAAATCCACATTCATCGCATCGATTCTCAACGATTCGATAAACGCATCACCATCGACAACGATGTTTTTATCGGATAAATTTCTGTTATTCAACGTTGGAAGAGTTTTCGATCTCGTTAAAATATCGTTGACATCGTGAGTAAGATTTTTTATATTTTCTTCAAGTTCACTAGGCACGATTACGTTTTCCGTGACGGAGACGTCGATGTTCCCTATAGTCCCTGAATCTAGAATCAATGTTGGTAACATCAGCGGCTGTGTTATCGCTAAGTCTTTATCGACCGGTAATAAGGAGGGCCACAACGATTGATAATTGTCTACGATCGGTTTTCTTTCTTGCAATATTTCGATCAGCTTTGCCAGATGCTTCGATAACATATCGTACTCCTTTGTCGAATAATCTGAAAACGAGTGCGTAAGTAATGGTGATGATGGAATAATTTTGAAATCATGTTCGCTTTCGATAGGATAATTGAACCTCCAGGAATTTCATCCACGCGTAACTTCCATGATTGGATAACGTAAATGTCATTTTTGTTAACGATGACCACCAACATAGTTATCGTGGATTTTTCGATTTCAATTTGTACGTCGATAACTCTATTTGCATGCGATAGCTTTATGGAAGTCACCAAGTTCGGATGCGATGCATTTTCAAATTTGTACAATCGTAAAGTGTTCTGAAATGGAATATATATGCGAATTTTAATTCTAATTTTATAATGTTTTAACGCTAATTATTGGGCCTGTGCTTCGCACAAGTTATAGGAGGTTTCAAAAATAATACTTCGAAATATCAAAAGTCTGAAATAACGTAATTTCGAAATGTGGAAACTATAGATTTACAATCGCGATCTTTAGGTTGGTACCCTAATATTTTACAGAGTTCTTACTTTCGGAATCGCGTAAAACTTTTGAACTTACATTACAACCGACTAAGAAAAATGTCTCGTCTTCGATGTTCGCATCGTGGAATAAATCGCATTCTTTGATTTCTGGAATTTGCACCCAGTTCAACAATTCATGCCCTAAAAACAGACTTACATAGTCATCGTATATGAACAGTAACGAGAATGAAAAATAACTGAAAACGAACCGTCCCACCAAAACAAGTTACTCGGACTACGTTCGTTGGTAAGAAAAATGAAATTGAAATCAGCATGATTATAATGATATATCGCAACAGGATTTAATGTATCGAGAAATTGTATTCTATCGAGGCTGTCTTCTTTAAATTCGTACACCATGGATCCAATATTGGGCATATTTTTATCGTTCTGCGCGAAAACTATGATCGTCGATTGCTTGTGCCTGAACGTTGTAACTGATATTGCAGCGGTAGTCATTATTTCTGCCACTACGTCCATGTACGTTCCTCTCCAATGATATATTCTGTACAGAAGGTATCTTTGTTATTTATGAATTTTATTAATCAACAGGTCGACGCGTTCCGAGGTTTCTCTAAGGCTTTGGAACGTTTTAATTTTATAAATTATAAAATGTTCGAATTGTCGATGTTTGTGTCGTAAAAGTGCTTTACTTCGTAATAAGTGTTTAATAATACAGAAATTTATGCGGTCATCGTGCTCGAACTTACAAGGAAGGCACAGTAAATTTGCCAGAATTATCAGCTACTACTAGATAGAGACGATTCGCACGAACGAAAAAGCTGGCGTCCATGGGATATCCTTTGTGCTGAATCGATTGTCGGTGTCTTAATTGAAAATTATCCGTTCCCGCTTCTGCTTCCGTTCCCGTGTACAAACTACACGATCCAGTTGTGCGACAAATTAAAAGATATAACACGTTCTTCCAAACGATGCTCTATAACGTGTTAATTGAAATTGTAAAAGCGAACCGGTTCAGAAATTATTTAATACTTTGCAGTTTAACGGTGAAATTAAAGATTAATATATATGGTTATTTTTAATGTAGTAGTTAACGCCAATTGAGAAACTAATAATTCATCGAATAAATTTAAACTGCAAATTATTAACGAACGAAAATACTGTTATTTATACTTTGACGAATTTTGTAGAGCTATCGGTACCAGCTAACATTATTTGCTGCGAGAACGTTCGATTCGACGGAGGTGTGTCGAAAAGCAACGTTAGCACACGATTTCCTTCGATCAGGAGGATCCTGTTGAATGCGTTTACCGTGAATAGCTGTTCTTTATCGAAATTCTGCTGCCATAATTTATCCCAGCTCACGTTGTACACTTTTCTTTCGACTACGATAATAACGTTACAGAGTTTTTCTTTCTACTTTGAATTCGATGATTTACTTTTTTCTTTTACCTGGTTGTTCATCGCGAAAACAAAGTTTAGCTATTTCGGTTTTTGTCTTCTTCAATTGTTCGTCCAAAAAATCGTCCGTCGAAACTTGCGTCAAGACAAATGAGACATAACCGAAGAGAAGCTGAGGTAACAAAGAAGCAAAATAACTTTATGCCTTTTTTCTTATTATCGAAGATGTATTGTATCTTTTAATAGAATTTAAACTCACTAGAATTTGCAACGACACCATGTTTCCGTAATGATCTCGGACTGATTCGTCCGTTCGCTAATGAAAGTTTCTCTATGAGAACTGTGATCGACTTACGACGGCAATTACGGGACGTTGATTATACGTGTATACAAACATACGTATAAACGTCAACAAATAACGAGCATAATTAAGATTCGAATCGATCGAAATCGAAAATCAAACGATACGAATATTTGTCGTACACGTTGTAAAATTATGTACATGGAATGTATTGTACGATATTCCTTTCGACGTTCCCAACGAATTATAATCTTTTATTTTTTAATGGATTACTATATCGCTGCGAAATAGTGTAACAATGTTAATAAAATTATTTTCAACATATTTTATTACCAAAACGTGTTAATAATCATGTTTCTTTAAATTCCGATGACGCGACTGGTGTTGAATGGAGGTAGTACATGCATATCCGATAGTACCTATGGTGTACACTTCCTTTCCTATACATCCTAAGAGCAGAAAGTGAACGTTACTTCGTTTCGTTTTGAAAAGAATGATTAATGGGTACATATTGACCGTGATCCTAGTTATAAATTAATTTTAATTTATAAAGGAAACATTACGGAGGTATTTCAATTTACTGTTATTATTGGAATTTATAAATATACCTATTTCGATGGGTTAGACGATTGGATGAAATTGGATCAGGATCTGGGTACAATTCCGAATTCTGCTAGAATTTGCCAGACATCGTTTATCGGTAAAAGTTTAATTCTTCGTCTTATCTTTCTTTAACTTCTCCGATAGATCACGAGCAGTTTCTATTATGCTTGTATTGCATTATTTTAGCATCGTTAGTGTTATTTTAGTATCGTGTTATCTACGAAATGATATTATGTATGCTTCTGTTACAAGACATTATACAGAATATAAGAAAATATTTGTTTGAAATAAATACATCGATTAACCGATATTAAACGATAAATTTGTTGTACGTGTAGATGTATAATTTATATGCTGGAAGTGTCCGAATGGAATCGACACTCGATAATCCGAATTTCAGGATAGGCTGGAAAGTGGAATTATTTCGGATAAGATGTCGCGATAACCTTACCGATATAATAAGATAATACGAATTCCGAGATTCGACTCGATCTTTCGACATACTTATACAGCTTGATTTCCGATTTCCGGAAATTAAAGGCAATCCTACTTTTATCGGGTTCATTCGAAACTCAAAATACCGAAATTACAACTAGCTGCGATTCGTAATTTGATTCGATGTAATCGAGATATCCCTCGATCTCGTTCGAACTATTCCGCCCCGTTTCGACGTGATCTCGAATGTTCGGGATCCTGCATATCCCTCTAATTTATATACGTAAAATAACAATGACTCGGGGTCTGTAGGCCCCAAAATGGAATGGCATATGGTCATCGATCGAAACAGACTACGAGATCACCCTCCTATTTTCGGGCCGATCTTTGTATGCACATTTCGCGCATCAGATGGCGCAAGGATTCCGGAGGAATGCATTCAACGTTGCGTTTTCATTGGTCGAAAAGGATTGGCGATCTCCGCGCCGATTGGTCCGTAATCGCGATCGTGACATCTCCACGAATCCTGGTTGAGTTGTGCACGCCGAGAAGGAGCGGATACAGCTCGAAAGCGGAGCGGTCGTGCCGGTATCAAGGGCCTGTGCAGTTTTGGTCCATTGTCATCGTTTTTGACGTGAAGCAGCGAGCAAACTCGTCAAATAGATCACGTGCATGCGAATATCGTACGATAATACGTATGTATTATCGATAGGGGAACTACACAAAAGCCAGTGTACGCGGGTGTGTGTGTTCATCGGTGTGTCTATGCGAGAGCAACCGCGTGCGGGCGGTTCCCACACGTCCGTGCAACAAGTGTCATACACGGCAGCGCGGTGAATAAACGACTGTTTCGAAGAGGCTCTATATAGACGCTGTGCATGGTGTTCGTTGTTTTGACAGAGGATAGAGAGGATCACCGGCGAGGATGGGCTGCGCGGTGAGCACCACCGGCGAGAAAGAAGCTGCGGAGAGGTCTAAGAAGATCGACAAGGATCTTAGAGCCGATGGCGAGCGAGCCGCCAGTGAGGTCAAGCTCCTCTTGCTCGGTAATTTCTTCTCGTTTTCTTTTCGTTGACATGCTTTCTCCCGAGAGAATCGTTTCATTGTTATTTCGCTGTTTCTTTGTTTGTAATATTGTTCGCGAGGTTTTCGTTTCTCCGGTATCTTCGTTTGTCGGAAAAGTGGATCACCGTATTCAGCAAGCTTGACTATCGAAGAAACGTGTTTTCCTTTTTTCCGTATTCTTCTTTTCCTCATTTTACCGTTGTACATTTATTTTGAACGATCTCCCCCGCGTGGAATAATTAATTATTTGGATTCGCGCAATCGCGGAAACGTACCGCGGGCAATTTTCCGAAAACTTGAATCATCGTTTGGAGTGAATCATTAGATACGACGTATTGAATGATCGCTCGATCATCTGTAGTTGTACATAACTTTATCGTCTCAATCAACCTTTAATTTTCAAATGTAACTGACATATTGGGTTCGCTAAACTTTCAATTATCGAGATGCGAATCATTCGTTTCGTACTTTAAAGGTTAACTAGAATAGGGAATAAAGAACGAGTATTTTAATTATAATAACGTTTACATTTTAAGGAGCGGGAGAATCTGGGAAATCTACGATAGTGAAACAAATGAAAATTATACACGAAACTGGCTACAGCAAAGAGGAATGTGAACAATATAAACCTGTAGTATATAGCAACACGATACAAAGCCTTATGGCAATAATCAGAGCCATGGGACAACTTAGAATCGATTTTGCAGACCCTAACAAAGCGGTAAATACGTTAGCTTTAGAATAAAAGTGTTTTATATTGTATTATGTGGTACTATGTTTGATACGTGTTAATAAATCATAATTATGTTGTAGGATATAGCACGCCAATTCTTTACCCTAGCTTCTGCGGCAGAGGAGGGTGAGCTAACTGGGGAACTGGTGCTATTAATGAAACGATTGTGGCAGGACGCGGGAGTACAGCTTTGTTTCACGCGTAGTAGGGAATACCAACTGAATGACTCGGCAGCATACTATCTTAACGCTTTAGATCGCATAGCGCAACCTAATTACATTCCTACCCAACAAGATGTTCTAAGAACGCGCGTAAAAACAACGGGAATTGTAGAAACACATTTCTCTTTTAAAGGTTTACACTTTAAGTAAGTTATTTTTGAAATACGTTTAATAATTTTTATTTTCTGCATTACATTATTTTGTATTAAACGACGTTTTATTTTTTTTTTCCGTAAATCAGAATGTTTGATGTTGGTGGTCAACGATCGGAAAGAAAAAAATGGATACACTGTTTCGAAGGTGTTACCGCTATTATTTTCTGCGTCGCGCTAAGTGGCTATGATTTGGTTCTAGCGGAAGACGAAGAAATGAATAGGATGATCGAATCGATGAAACTATTCGATTCCATTTGCAATAGCAAATGGTTCGTTGAAACGTCGATTATTTTATTTTTAAACAAAAAAGATCTTTTCGAAGAGAAGATCACCAGGAGCCCCTTAACTATTTGTTTCCCAGAATATAAAGGTGCCAACACTTACGAAGAATGTGCTTCTTATATTCAAATGAAATTCGAAAATTTGAATAAAAGAAAAGATCAGAAACAAATTTATACACATTTCACATGTGCCACTGACACCTCTAATATACAGTTTGTTTTTGATGCTGTAACCGATGTTATTATCAAGAACAACTTGAGTAATTGTGGTTTACTAAGTTAAACGTTTCGATATTCTATTGAATCAAAAGCGCTAGATCGATAATCTAAGGTTTATAAACCGGTATGTAAATGCACAAAGGATATACATGATGAGACTGAACAAACTTTTTTTTTTTTTTTTTTTTTTTAAACAGATATATTCTGTATATCAACGTGTATACCATTCAATCGATGTTTTCACTTTGGCATTTTATTGATCATTACAATATTTTGGTTTAGTATTATGTAATTATTTGTTAGGACCTGTGGTTTTCTCTACACAAAACTTTGAAACGTCTCATTGCAATAGGCTAATTTTTAACTTATTAGATTGTTTCAGATAACAGTCGATATTCAAACAGAACATTGCAAAATTACCAAACTCTAATATTTATATATATGTGTGTGTATATATATATATATATACATATATATACATATATATTATTTTTGACGATAAAAGCAGATACTATTTACAAATGAAAAAAATCTAGTTTCTGCTAATTGTGTAGTATATTAACCGGAAACTAGTTAGCTGTTAATTTAGTGATATATTTTTGTATATAATTTATTCACGGAATGAACAATGTTTATATTAAATGGAAATACATTTCCAGAATAGTGCTCCAAGTCACTTATTTTTCTCATAATTGTCGTATTACGATGACAAACACAGCTCTCTCTCTGTGTTCACGAGCAGATATTTATACAAATTATTATATTTGATAAAAATTTTTGCACAATCTTTTTATACGTATTAATAGATAATGTTTAAAGAGCTGATTCATTGCTCTAGCTGCCAAACAAATGACAATGCTAGAATTAGTTACAAATTTAGAAATCAATTTCGTTATATTACTGAAATAAATAACAAATTTTTGTAAGAGCAAATATCTTTTTTAAATGCTGTGCTTCGTGTTGTTGTGAAATATACAGAGGTAGTTCAACGAATTAAAGCGAAACAAATATACTGTATATTTCGTACAATCAGGAAATTGTTTAAAACACTATTTCTTACTAAATATCACGACTATTTACATTCTACTGTTTAATTCAGTGCACGATTCAGTTACAAAAATTCTCCAATTTATATTCAGCTTTTTAAAATGAAAAATTTTGCATCTATTAAAACCGAATTTCTCTTTTTGTGAAATTTTATCTTTAAGAAAGAAACATTTCCGAAATAAAAACGCTCACGTATCAAGTACTTATTCTGAATCTTGAAAAATAATTAAAAATGTTTCTTTCGTTGTGTAAACGCAGAATCTCGTTTTACTTGAATGTATCTCACATCGATGTTTTATATGTTATATGTATATGTACAATAATACAATACATGAAGCTACAAAATAAATAGAGTAATCTTTTATCCTATCTGACAACGTTTAAAATGGAAGTTTACCGATTAATTTCTTTATATTGTTGTAACAAAAACTTTAATTTGTTATCGCTTGTAATATCGTTATTAACTCAAGGAAACATTGATTGGTCAACGATTGCCGTTATATATTTTGTACATACAATATGTATACGTGTACGTGTATATAGGTATACTTATATGGAAAATATTTTACAAGAATACTGCTTTTGAGACTAACATTTTTCTTAGCGTTATAACAGCAAGTTTAAATTACTTTCTTTCAACTCTCAAAATTCGTGTCAACCGTTATTCACACTGTTCAAAGATTTAACAAGAAAACGCGCGTAACCGATAAACAATCTCAATGTTAATCGCAAATAAATTACTATATCGTAAAAACAGTGATTCGTGTGTCATGAAATATGGGGTACAACAATATTATTAATGTTTTCTATATATATATATATATTGGAAACGCTGTAACTTTTTTCAAGAACTTTTCGTACGATATTTTCAACAACATAGATTTAATTAACATAATTATTATTTCGTTCGTTTCAACAATCATCGAGAAACCTTTACGCTATATCCGTCAGTAAACTTCGCTTATTTCCTACGATATCGGTACAATGAAATCTTTGAGGTATTTAACAAACTTGGTTACATACGATATAGGATAGTGCATGACAGGAAGCATATGCGTTCTTTTAGTGCACGGGAACGGAGTTTGACTAATCACAGAATAGATTTGAAGTTTACGATAAGCTCACAGCTGTACACAACGTTACGTGGAAGCAATCTATATATTTTACGATTTAATTCCTATTGATATTTATAAATAATTAACTACACAGTAACGTCTAATGATTTCGCTCGCATTGGAATGAGAAACCACGATTTATTGTGGATTTCTAGCTGGAATCGGTGGTCCGCCTGTTCTTGCTGGAATGGGTGGTGGAGCGTTAGGTGCAGGTAAACTAGGCGGAGGGTGTTGAGGTGGTGGAGGAGCTTGTCTCTGCGGTAATGGAGGAGGTTTAGAACTGGGTGGTCTGTTGGATGATTCTTGTAAAGGATCTGCTGTGCGAGGTAACGGCGGTGGTGGACGGTTTGGTATAGGGTAATTGGGTGATCCGTCCAATATTTCCTCGTAAATTGCAGATTCCGGAGATAACCTTTCACTTTGTTCAGGCTCCGATGTTTCTCTAGGTAACGGCGCTGAGAATTGATTAGGCAATACACTAAACACACCAGCTCGTGGCCCTTGTTTTCGATCCTGCAACGGGCTTCTGGGTGGTTGGGATGGTCGACCTGGAGGTGCAGGTCTTGGCGGTGGAGTTACACCATTTGGACTTCCTCTACTGGGCGAAGGTCGTTCCGTTATCTCTAATTGATCCAATCTTTGCATAGGGCTTCTAACAGGAGAACTCGAAGTAAACTGTGCAACAGTGGTGTTGCTACAAAGTTCTATTTCTTTTTCAATTAATTGCACCCAGTTTGGAGACTTCAATGATAATTTCAAAGTTTGACCGCACACTTGGGTCATTCCTTTTCTTGCCGCCGATAGAGCGCACTGTCCGTCTCTGAACGTAACCCAAATTGTTTCGCCGACAAACCTGACGAGAATTACCTCGCCGATATGAGAGAAATCTTGTAACAGAGCCATCATAAAGTTTTCGTCAAATACGCTATCCATGTCGTCCGATTCTTCTACTGCTTTTACCACTATCGTACCATCCGGTGGACCTAAATCTTGAATTACTTCTTTGAATACTTGTTCGCGTTTCTCGGGTTCAACGCAGTGGACATCTACGTCGATAATTGCAATAACCGGTCGGTGATCGCTTTGTTTCAATTCTGCTCTACCGTAATGAATTAATTTTCCTGGATTCCAATCTGTTGGCGAATCTAAACCGATTACGTGTGATTTAAAATGTAAAATGTAATAAAGACAATCAAGGAATAAAAATTGTTTTTACTAACCGATATCAGGTACTTGTTTTCTACGTTTCCATAATACTCTGTCTGTCCATGCAGGTTGACGACATTTTTCGCTGGTATCGTAATCGTCGGAAAACATGTCGTATTTATACGTTGGAGGAAAAGTGATAGAACCTTCTAGGAAATTTTTAAAAACATTTCCTTGATCTTGTTGAACCTACATTTTAAAATATATCGAAGCAATACGTAAATTTATTATTTACTTAGTTCGCGTAAGACATTTATTTTCCAACGTTTAAGATTTATTTACCTTTAATTGATCATATTGTAATATATGATCAAGTTCGTTTCTCTTGATCATATCTTTCATTTCGTCCTTGTCCATATCGACTCTGTAATTAAAATCTCCGCACCAAAATACGTAATCATGGGTATTCAATGTTCTTCCCATAGGAAATGTAATTTTTCGCGTAATTTCAGCATAATCGGCATTACGTTCGTTAACTTGAGACTGTCCAGCAGCAAAGTGCGCACAAACGAAGCAAAAAGATGTGGAGTACAATACGCATCTGATAGCTGCAGCTCCTTTGTTACCCGTTGCACCACCTAATCCAGTTTTAACACAGTCTACAGCTACGTCCCTTAAATAAGGTGCATGCACAGGCCGTATGAATAAATAAAGGCAAACACCGACTAACTGTTGATACGTGATTAATACATATTCGGTATCTCGGGACAGTACTTTTTGTAATTGTTCTGCCCACGCTTTCGCGTTATCGGTACTAGCAGCCATTATGTTACTAGCATTTAAATCAACAATTTCTTCGAACCCTATTGCAAATATATCTACAGGAACATTGTCGTATTCGACCGATACTAGGGCTGTAAAAGAAAATACCAATCGATTAAGGATCATGTTAGAAATGTATCGTTTGAAACGAGGATACGCTTAAACAGTACGTACACGATGATTTTCTTGGAGCATCCAGTAACCAATCGGAAAGGGGTACATCTTTGTATACCGTACTCCGAAAATGCTTTCCTCCGTTAACGTTATAAGTACCCACGCTTACTCGAAGATTCATCGTAGTTACGTACTCGTTATATCTTTTACACATTTCTCTTAAAACACTTGGCGGAGCGTGTAACATATTGGAAGGCAAAAGTAATCGGGCTCTATCCGCTAATTCTGTGTTCAAAGTTGATCCGAGTAACAAAATATCAATAGCTTCCTGTTTACTGGAGTCTAGCAAGTTATTTTGTATCGTTCTAGCTGCAGATCTTGCACCGTCCATTAATTTTGAGCTCCCTTGAATTGCTCCGGTACCAGCATATATTTTACTTACTTCGTTACCGTTATTGATCCACATCTGTCTAAATACTTCTTCGAATCTTGAAACCATCTGTTGCTTCTCCAGCAATTTCAACAAACCTAGTTGCTTACCAAGTATTTCTAAAGCGAAAAACGTCTGTACACAATTAGTTCTGTCTAAGCAATCTAGACAATTTGTTCTAATAGTGCCATTTTGTTCAAGAATAACGGTATTACCAACAGCATAAAACAATGAAAACGATTCTAAATATTTCTCTACTTTTGCCTTCAATTTCGACAGATTTTTCATGTTTCCACCCCGACATTCTTGATGATAGTCGAACAAAATGTGAGGCACATCGTTATGCTCCGACATATTATGATGAGTTTGGAATAACTGACTTAGCATCGCTTCTCCTTCCTTACTACCGATCAGACTAGAACCAAGTAGATTGACAATCACTTGTTGCCCGTATCTCTGTTTTATCATGTTTAAATGTCTATCGAACGCTGGCGCTGAAGCTTCGAAGCCGCGAGAAATTTTAACTTTATGAGAACCGACTTGGATGCCAGGTTGTTCCCAGAATAAAGGGACTGATCCTCTGGTTTGTACGTAAGAAGTTATTTCGTTATCTAAATATATAACTTGTTCCGTTTCTACAAAGTTTGCTACGTGACCATCGTCGTTAGTTCCTCTGACGTTAAACCTGAATAAGGAAGAAACGATTAAAATGAAAGTGCTGGTCTGTTTCATAAACGATTAATACATCGTAGTATCGCGTTACCATAAGAATGATAAGATTTGATAAGAATAATATGTAATACTGAACAAGTTAGTAGAAATTATTAATGTAGATATTGAGTTTTAAGTAAATCAAAAGTACCTGGTGCCTGCACGTTCGCAGCTTAGTCTGGACATAAGAACAGCTCGTGCCTGTCTATGACCAACGTAGACAGTTCGAATTTCCACGCTACCACACATCGCTTTAAGTAACCAGTGAGACGTATCGACTCCGTATCTTAATAAATGTATGTGTAACATTCGATTCCTGTTTACATAATAAAATTATTGTCGTATCTCTATGAACGTAAAAAATTATCGTGTACATGCCACTGACCAGAAAAATCTGTTATCGGTCGTCGTGGATTTACATCGCCTCTGTGCACTGAGAGTAATGTCGAGAGGTTCTTGAAAGCCAGCGGACCAAGAGAAATAAAATGTACCAGAGTTAAGAACTTTTCTAACTTCTGACACACGATCCTCGTGACCTTGCGTATAATGAAGCGGTACAAAATGTGTTTGCGTAATTCTAAATACTTCTGATTCTCCTATTTTACCAACGGAGAAACATCCAGTGACAAGAACCAGGTATAGTAAAGTATTTTCACCTGCGTTTAATTGCAAAACACCTAAGCATCCGTATGCGTCTAATAATTTTGTATATTTTCCCTTCAAAGTATCAGTTTCTTCGGCAGCTGTAAAGAATTAGAAAAAGATACTTTTTAAACGATTACATACTAAAAAGACGGTCGAACGTTAAGCGAGACACGTTTGATGAATACCGGTTGGTATCCTTTAAAGGAGCAAAAAATGAAGAATTAAAGAGATAGAAGATTCAACGGTACATTATTATTAATAACGATAAATTGCTTACAGAGAACAGCGACCGCTTGTGCCTCAAAGAGAACGGTTTCCTTTCGATTTCGTTGTTCTAATATAAGAGAATGAGGAGTAGGCGGTTTTAACTTTTCGTAAACGCGAAACCCTTTGCCCATCGCCATTGTTGCGCTAATGTCTTTGAAGGTTTTGGAGATAAAGGTACGTTTTGATAAAATATGACAGGCCCGTCTGTCATACGGAGCAGCACGATTACTCCACTTTCCGAATGTTTTCTCTCTGCTGACTGAACTTCGTTGGTCAACACCGACGATAATATACTTTTCTCTATCAGTTAACGGAAGGGAGTAGCGCTCTTCTCGCTAATTCATCGATACTTCGATATTTTCGCGATATATACATCGCGATTCCACGAAGCCTGCCGTCTGCTTGTTTAACCGTAACAATCAATCGAACGCGCCATTTTGAAATTTTCAAAAATCGTACGTACGACGATTTCGCGCCATTAGCACCCGTGAAAAATGAATCGTTCGAAGTAAAGAACCGAGGAGGATATTTTGGGAGTTTCGAAGTTTGGACATTTTTCAACTTTGGAAATTAATATATCGAACAATGTTAGCTCAGAAGAATTCATACGGTTGTTGCGATAAAATTTATTTCTTCCGGTGACATAATAATTGTTACATTTCTTTCGCATAATGATCGTTAGTTTTAAACAGGACTTATTTAAACGATCATCCTTTCGCAGAGAAATTATCTAATCTAATGTATCGTGTATAAATAGTTGAAAAAAATGTAGGTTCAGTTACGGCTAGGTTTCTGTGAATGTCTTTGATCGTTGCATGCACTTTACACCTAATTATAGAAAATGTCACATTCTTTTATATTACCACAATATTTACACGAAGGAAGGTGCCATTTATTGACACTTAATTATTTCATTAGGCTACCCGATCTTTCGTCTTTTTCTTTAGTCGGTCGTTGATACTAAAATATTTTTTTTTTTTTTTTTTTTAACAGTAGTAATAATTAGGAAAAACAAAATTGTATGAACTTTACATTCAAAGTCGTTTGATGATATTTCCTGCGGAATTTGCGATAAGTATCAATAAAAATAGTTTCTAAACATAAATTTTATAGAAAGCATTATAATTATATAATATTTATGGAAACATTCTTAGACTAGGAAATTAATATACATACATTCTATATCAAATTTTAACAATCAGTCAATACAATTAATACTTTCCTATTCTTTTCTCCTTAACGGTACTCTTTCGCCTAATAATGTACCTACGTAATTCTTCGTTTATGTAATGTTACATAAACAATTCAATGGATCGAAGCTCATTTAAAGCATTGGAAATGTAGAGGTTTTGAGTTTCTTCTATCTAAACGTTACTTCTTGTAGAAATAGAAAAAAAATTGTTACTTGATAAAATTCACAATTCGAAAATAATTTCATTCAGATGAATTGCCTGAAATTATTTCGTACTCTGGAATTAATCGTAACTAAACGTTTCAACCTGTTATCTTTCCTTTTTCTACGTCTCTAAAACACCGTCAACTGAAAGCATTCTAACGCATATGTACCATTACAGAAAGTATTACACCTCTTGAAATATATAGATATTCATTTGAAAAACTAAACTATAGCTGCTTCGTAAGTTTTACCTGACCGTAAAAGAGATTGCAACGATTGTATAACAGAACTTTTATTTATTCAGCGATTATACCTCGAGGAAATCCTTTAGCAAGGTAACACGACGCTTTTCAGCAATGTCCATTTGATTCTCCAAATCTCCACGATCCGTTGTTTCTGCATGTTCTATTTTCCAAGAAAGATTTTCTATTTCGGCTTCCAGCTGAGCTTGTTGATATTCGAACTTGAAAATAAAAATGCATTAAATACATGCTTGTAGCATTGTACTAAATGCTGAGGACACCGTCAAACATGATTCAACATTGATACCAAAGTTTTTAATCGAAATATTACCAGTTCTTTACGAGGTCCAGGTTCCATGTAATACGCGTAAGGATACGTGTATTGTAAAGTGTAACGACAGCGCGCTAAAAGTGACGCGGCTGCGAATAAGTGCTGCCAATCGATCCAGGTTCCACTGGAATTCATTACTTTTTTGTTTATTCGCATCTTTATGGCTTCGAGCGTTTGTTCTTCCAATTTTAACGATTTACTGTGATTTTCCCACTGGTGAAAGTTAATCATAATATATTTAGATTTCATACGCGTATACAAGATAATCGTTAAACGGAGAAACTTTACCCTTTCATAATAATGAAGATACTTTTTAAGAGCTTCTCGCGCTTGTGCTAAAACACTCTCATGAGCGATGTTAGGATTTTCTTTGTAACGCGAACATTCGTAATATTCACTTCCGTGTGTTCTCCAATCCCCAAGGCATATCCAACAAAAATCATATTTGCAATTGTAACATTGCATATGATTGCAACCACCATTTTTTTCTATGCAAATATGACATTTTGGACACTGTAAATTAACATTTGTTTATTGTCCAGATTTTAACACGGAGAAGAATAAAATTCTAGTAAAACTAACATCTTTGGTGTGAGCACTGATATAATTAGCTGTCTCTGAATCGTCCGCGCATTTTATCAGCCATTTTTTAATCGTATTACAATCGGTAGGTGCATGGTAATCTGTACCGCAACGGAAACTGAAATGATTATAATATTTAATTAAGATACAGATTAAAGTACTGTAGGTATGATTAGAATGCGAAAAACACGCACCAAAATATACTTTTACACGATGAACACATAACTCTTTTTGCCCGTTGTTCTTTCGAATGCATAACCATTTGACAATTGGGACCTGGACAGAACCTTAGTTGCGGATGAGATTTCACATAATCGCAAAAAGCAAACTGTTGATACCTTTCCCTCATGTTAGGCTTAGTAAGTAAAGATAAAACAAAATCTTCTGGAGCTAGGACGTTACAATCCTGCGCCATGCAGCTTATTCCTAGCGGAGGAAAGTTCAAATTAAAATATTTTATAGTCGTTAATAAAGTATAGATCGTATTTATTCTATCGTATGTTTTATGCATTAACAACTTTACCTGTAGAAATACCTTGAGTTATTTGTACTTCGAAATGCATGCACCAACAGTCTTTGCAGAAAGAATGTCCACACGTTAACGTAGAAAATTTATCAGCAGGATAAATCGTAACGCAAACTGAACACAATCCACCTCTTTGACTCTTTAACCCTGGCACTGAATCCAACAGAGGTAACGATTTTATTTTCGAATTAATTAATAAACTGGAAGCATTGGTACGGTATTTTGCGACGATATCTTGTAATGCCCAATTGTGCGCGTGTAATAAAACTTTGGCTAAGGATGGTGTTATGCGAAGACTATTACTTAACACTTCTACATCTTCGTTCAAAAGTCTTTCCACTTCTTCGATTCTTAAACAATCGTATACCGCATATTCTGGATCTCTTCTGCTATGATCAAAATCTATGTCGTTATCACCTTCGCCGTCCCATGGTTGAACATTATAATAATCTTCATAACCTGGATCTCCGCAGTCTGAGTCGGAGTAATCCATTTCGGTGTCATATTCTTCACCTGACATCTACAGCAAAGATACTAATTACATAGTATAACCTCTTAATCCTTGCTATCGATTTATAAACGACATATAAACGTGCATACGAGCACGTTTTAAATAAGCGGTCACGAAAATACAGTGAAATTAAATTTATTAACTTGACCATAATTATGGTAGTTATAAATAAAACTATTAATAACCAAGTACAATCAAGAAATTTTAAGTAACAATTTCAGTTAATGCAAGTCGAATAATTTCTAAGTAAGTGTGTTTGTTTATAAAAAATAAATATCTGCTTGAAAATATACAAAAAGATAACGACACATCCATTGTATTTGATGGTTTGCACTGAAAATATCTTTTTATGACATTTGGTAAACATTTCCTTGAAATTTTAAACACTGTGTCAAAGTACAATGTTTGTCCGATTTATATACATAGTAACAACAACCCACCTTTACGTTCTTATTTATCAAGAAAGATGCATTGATGTATCTGTTTTTTAGCGTAAATGTAAAAGTTATTTAAAGGGATTCGTCGCAGTCGTTTATACCAGCAGTCGCACTGGCGCATGAGTTATGTGTATACTCGTGTGTAACATTGGCTCACTATGGTTAAGGGGAAACGAAGAGGAAGGAACCTCCCACCATTTGTCTTTGGTTGCTAAATACGTAATGCATATGCAGTATATTCTGTGTTTGCTTAGACAGGCACATGAAAAGCTATAGTCGTCGCACAATCCTTGTTAAAATATATAGTAAAATCAGAAAATTCTTCGGAAGTGTGCTTTTCAACTTTGGGCACGGCCGTATACATATACAAGTCGCGAAACTTCCGTGATGAGGATGACCCTTTACAGCGATTCGAGCGCAAATATAATTTCCCTAGGGAAAATGTCGTCCTAACTATATTTAGTTTAGGTAGTTCTGCAATTGGCTGCTAGATGATGCTAACGGTATTATTCTCGGAGTGCGCTGCTAAAACGAATTAGGCATAGTGCGCGAACGTTATCGGTGTTCATAAGGACTTGTTTTTGTTGGCTGCCATTTTTACAGGGAATTCAAACTTGCTTTCGAATATACTTGTAAAATCTATTACGAAATGGAAGCACTACGATTGTTTCATATACAATTCAGAATAATAATTGGTTGGCAACGTTTCATAGATAAGAAAAGAGCGATAGCGCTGTATAATCTGCGAATGATTTACAAAACTTTTGTGCTTTACGAGGGGATCTCTCTGTCAGAAAAGTTTCCGAACTATTTACTATATTATATGTATATACGTATACCGATACGATCGTGTCACCGACTAACCATGTGCACTCAGTTTCTTTCTAACCTCAAAATATAAAAATCATTTGTTATTTATACATTTTATACTCGAAATTATGTCCGTGTATCACGATGAGGTAGAAATCGAAGACTTCGAATACGACGAGGACGAGGAAGTATATTATTATCCTTGTCCTTGCGGGGATCAGTTTCAAATATCTAAAGCAGATTTAGTTGCTGGAGAAGAAGAAGCTACTTGTCCTTCTTGCTCTTTGGTGATTAAAGTAATTTACGACAAAGAAACGTTTACAGCTAAGCAGGAAGAGGTTGTTAAGGTCGAGGAGAAAGAACTCGCTATACAGAAAGCTTAAGGTAAATTATAATAATTTTTGGAATAACGGTTTACCACTTTTACCTAGTTTCGTGCGCCAAAATTATAGAACATTAATGGAATTATTTCATTAGCGATGATTCATTTGTTAATAGGAAAGTATCGCCATGGCTGGACGTGGCAGAGGAAGAGGTAAACCTACTATGTCCATTAGTACAGAACAGTTAGGTTTTTCCAAAGGCGAAGCATTACCGCCACCAGTTTTACAACCTCCTCCAAAGTATCCTCCTTTGGAGTACAAACCGTTACTTCTAACCGTTACAACAGAGACCAATTATTTGCTGGAACTGAAAAGGGAGTTTGCAGAGTTCATGAGAGAGTCGCCGAACAATGTTTTACCGGTTGTAATAAAGAAAGATATAGAACGATACTCGGATCGGTATCAAGACTTAATAACAGACAAGAGCAGTTACGAAACAAGGTACGACTGGAGTAGAATGCCAGCAGAGTTGAAACCCCAACCACGTAAACGAAAAGGACAGAAACTGGATAAGTCCGATAAAAAGCAAAAAAACGTTGATATAGAAACAAAGTTACAAGAGTTGGAGAAGAAGGAAAATTTGCAGCAGAGCGACGCAGAGGAGGAGGAAAAAGAGGAGGAAGAAGCGGAGGAGAAGGACGAGGAACACGCGGAAGAGGAGGAAGAGGAATTGGACGAAGAAATGGACGAGGGAACCGATTACGTGAACAACTACTTCGATAATGGAGAAGGTTACGACGACGAAGACGATAATTTAGACGATGGACCTATTTATTGAAGTAGGTTTTTCTGATAAAAATCGGAAATCTTTCTTCGCTCGAAATATGGAGCTGCCATATTCCTATGTTAATTCGTATGTTAATGTGTATATATATTTTTATGCCGATCTTTTGATCGCGTGTACCGATAATAAATTATTCTTCGCGCGTAAAAGATTTTTTTACTTGCTAATGTAGTTATTATAGGAAGGCTTTAGTTTACTCGTTGTGTAAATTATAGCATCAAGAAGGTACGTAGTTGGGCATGGATCAATGAAGAACAATGAAGAGTGTCACAGGAAGCGTCGGCGTGTTCTTTATTACGAGTATTTCAATCTCTAATATATAATATATATATATTTATATATATAATATATATATATATATAGCCATAATAATCTGCAATTATTGTAATAAATGATCCTCCTCTACGATGCAATCGGAGAGTAAAAACGCAATTTTGGACGAGAAGGGGATGCGCAAAAGTACCGTAGTGTTACGTAATGCTTACGTTACGCTCGCCGTGTAATAGTTCCATTATCAATCCCAAATAGTTATCATTTTCTCTCGCTTTATCGCAACAATAATTCGTTCTGTCGTCTTCGCTCCCGGAATGTGCACACTGAGCGCGCGGGAAAGGATCGTTGAAAGAAAGAAAAAAAATAAAAGAAAGGTTTCGATAGAAGTCCGGTATTTTTCCTGAAATTTCCAGCCGCTTACATTGTGTGCTTGTTTTTAATACGAGGCGATTCAGAATGAAAACCGATATAAGGGGACAAGCGATCGAATCGTTTGCGATAATTTGGCGGAAAATGAAGATTGTACGTCTAGGCTTCGAAACGACATCGTTTAACGCTTTGATTTTCGCGAGAATTTTTCTGGTACTATAAACCATGATTTGATAGAAGAATTAAAATTGATCGTTATTAAGTCTCGGATTTAACTGGAATTTAATCGATTGGAGGAAAAACCGTGATCTTTCGCGGAATATAGTAGAAACAGATAGAAAATAGAAGATTTCCTCGCGAGTTCAAAGCGTTAATCGTGTCACGATTTGGCAGTAAATCGAGCAAGCTAACAAAAATTCCGTCGCTTGGAAAATTTCGTTTCGGATACGCGTTGGCATGGTCCACCTGTTCCAGCAACTAACAACGAATTGCCTACGTTATGGCAAACGGTTCAGCTCTGATATTTTAACGTCAACTGATAACGCATCGTTAGAAGAACGCAGAAACGTGCGACTTTTACAAATATGAGAAAATATAAACGGACAAACGCGTCGTTTTCATGTTACTCATTTTGTCAGACTTATCCATCCTTCATTACGACCAGTTCAGCATTTTATCTTATTCCGTTTATGTTATTCTGTTTTGCAAAATACGAGAAATCCGACGATTCATCTTCGCATCGTTCGTTGTATCAATATCATTTAACAGCATCACCGATATTTCCTGATTTCACGCGATTCTCTTATTCCGACAAAACAGCCTCTCTCCTCCTTCGTTTCTACTATCGTTGTTCAAACGTTAGTTTCTTTTCGCCCGCATCATTCGTAATAATATTTGTAATAAATGATCCTCCTCTACGATGCAATCGGAGAGTAAAAACGCAATTTTGGACGAGAAGGGGATGCGCAAAAGTACCGTAGTGTTACGTAATGCTTACGTTACGCTCGCCGTGTAATAGTTCCATTATCAATCCCAAATAGTTATCATTTTCTCTCGCTTTATCGCAACAATAATTCGTTCTGTCGTCTTCGCTCCCGGAATGTGCACACTGAGCGCGCGGGAAAGGATCGTTGAAAGAAAGAAAAAAAATAAAAGAAAGGTTTCGATAGAAGTCCGGTATTTTTCCTGAAATTTCCAGCCGCTTACATTGTGTGCTTGTTTTTAATACGAGGCGATTCAGAATGAAAACCGATATAAGGGGACAAGCGATCGAATCGTTTGCGATAATTTGGCGGAAAATGAAGATTGTACGTCTAGGCTTCGAAACGACATCGTTTAACGCTTTGATTTTCGCGAGAATTTTTCTGGTACTATAAACCATGATTTGATAGAAGAATTAAAATTGATCGTTATTAAGTCTCGGATTTAACTGGAATTTAATCGATTGGAGGAAAAACCGTGATCTTTCGCGGAATATAGTAGAAACAGATAGAAAATAGAAGATTTCCTCGCGAGTTCAAAGCGTTAATCGTGTCACGATTTGGCAGTAAATCGAGCAAGCTAACAAAAATTCCGTCGCTTGGAAAATTTCGTTTCGGATACGCGTTGGCATGGTCCACCTGTTCCAGCAACTAACAACGAATTGCCTACGTTATGGCAAACGGTTCAGCTCTGATATTTTAACGTCAACTGATAACGCATCGTTAGAAGAACGCAGAAACGTGCGACTTTTACAAATATGAGAAAATATAAACGGACAAACGCGTCGTTTTCATGTTACTCATTTTGTCAGACTTATCCATCCTTCATTACGACCAGTTCAGCATTTTATCTTATTCCGTTTATGTTATTCTGTTTTGCAAAATACGAGAAATCCGACGATTCATCTTCGCATCGTTCGTTGTATCAATATCATTTAACAGCATCACCGATATTTCCTGATTTCACGCGATTCTCTTATTCCGACAAAACAGCCTCTCTCCTCCTTCGTTTCTACTATCGTTGTTCAAACGTTAGTTTCTTTTCGCCCGCATCATTCGTAATAATATATTATATAGTGTATATAGATATATTTATATATATATATATATATATATACTTTGTATATAACCGTCGCATTTTAATATAGTACGACCTATCTATGTATAAGTAGGCATAAAGACTGAGGCGAGAATACAGGCGAAACTCCGAACAGTAGTCCCTCGCGTGTCACGTATCTTTTTTTTTTATTTTAAAGTAAAAAGAAAAATGGAAATAATCGAATAAGAAATCTGCATATACGTTTCCTGAGAAGCGCTCGATCAAAGAGCATAGGAGGAATTAAAGCTTCGGGATTGGAGATTGGAGATGGCTAGGACCTAGGAAAAATTGAAGTAGTTATATCTCTCGGTTACTGGAGAATCGAGAAGGAACAATCGTGGAAAGTATAACGAGTGGAGGACCTCGAGAGACGTATACGCAGATTTTACTGGTTTTGTACCGTTAACGCTCTCCGTGTTCATTCCGCGATAATGTAAAAATACCGAGAAACGATTTTCCTTCGATTGTCTTTCGGTTCCGATAGAAAACTTCAACAAGAATTTTTCTCTATTCAATTTCCGTCGTGCAGCGCTTTGTTCGAGCGAAGAGGCTTCGTCCGAATTTCAATTTCTTCGAACGTAACGAAACGAAAGAAAACGAAGCGAAGCGGAACGAAACGAAAGAAAACGAAACTTCGTGTCCCGTTCGCGTACCGGAAAATTGTCGACCCTTACAGCGATCAGCCTTCGAAATCTCTGCTCATAGAGTTTCCACCCAGTCAATCTCTTCCCTGAATCGTAGAAATAAAGGTCTTCTCTGTTTCTTCCGTATTTCACTTTCTTCAGCATCTCGATTCATCGAGCAGAAAACGCTGGTTCAGAACGTGGCCAGCACGTTCCCTTCGATCCTGCCGTTCGGCGTTTCTTAAGGCCCGTTGATCGATGCTTTCGCTAAACTTCCTCTCAACAGCGGTATAATTCAAGATTTGTCTACGTGTACGAGGAAAAAGTAGCTCGGAAGCGAGGAACGAATTTGGGCTACGATACGGCGTTTGAAGCAACGTCCAAAGGAATCTAGATACGGCGTGTAGATCGTTGAATCGAAAAGTTTGCGGACAGAGGAACCCAACCCGACTACCAAAAGTTCTCCGCTTTAAGAATAGAAACTAAAACTTGCGGAGTATATTTCTGCTGGACAAGATATCTCTCTCTCTTTCTCTCTCGTTGGGTTACTCTATGCGAAGGTTAACCGTATCGCGTGTACAAGTTACAGTTAAGGAGGTAATAAGCAACCGTAAGGATTTAAGGGTTCGGAGCTAGTACTTTTCCAAAAATCTACCTGTTGCACCGCGTTCTTCTCTCGGAAGACATCGTTCGAAAACACCGTAGCAGCGGCAAAGTTCGTTTCTGTGGAAGCTTCCGAGCCTTTTTCCGTCGACGTTTTCTCTTTACATTTAACTAGAAACGAAAGAAAATGTTCGCGTTTGAGCCTCGCCTGTTAAGGTACGGGCGCTCTAATCGTGCGAAATTTTACGAACGGTTCAACGAATTCTCCCCTCGATTCTCGATATCTAAACGATCGACGACACTCGATTAAAATAAATAAGATTTGCTATGTGTCGCGTTTGTTTAGGGAGGTATGTGTGTGTTTTTTTGTTCATCCGATGGGAACAGGAACAGTCTTTGAATCCGCGGCTACAAGTGACGTTACCGATACGTTATTCGTCTCTTTGCCGATTATTTGCTTCGTGTCGTAGTTTTACGTTAAGCCCGCACAACTAATTGCCTGTTCGAGTAATCGTGTTTTTTCATTGGACCGGTATCTGTTGGTCACGAATAAATCGGGAAACCTTATTCTTAACACGTTCACCGACACACAGTATAAATAGCTATAACGACACATGATACGTAATACGAAATGTCGACGCTCTTAACGATTAATTATTTAATATCGTGTATCGTTAATCTAATTTTACCGAAAGGTATTTAAAATTTCTCGGTTTCCTTATTTCTTAATTATTCGAATAAATCAGGCAGTTAACGTGTTAAGCCACGCGGCCGCGTGATCAAGGCTCGAATGTATCGTTCAGAGCGTAGAACGTGAAATAAAGTAAACAAGTGGCTCGTGTCGCGGTACTAGTTGTGCAGGCCTGCTCTAAATACACGGTGTAACGTTCTGGAAATCACAGGACAAATCAGCTTCTAAATTCGGATGGGCAGTGTAAGCTTTTGCGAGGTGCTTCTTCAACGTGTAAATCTATCATCTCTGTTTTCCTATCGTCGTTGCTTACACCAAACTGTTCGAGCATTTATCTCGCATCTTTTCAACGTCTCTTCGATTTATATTTTCAGCTTGTAGCATAATTAAACATACGCTTAAAAAGTTTCGTTTCGATCGAAGATGCTCGAGTTTGATCGTCGCGTCGCGTCGCGTCGGTCAGACGGATGCTATAAGCTATAAGCGAATCGGACAAGACTCTTGCAACCTTTCAACTGCTGACTCCTTGCCAATGAAAACGTTCAATTTGTACTTTTCGTATTACCCAAATAAAATTCGACGCGAGAATAATAATGATTGAAACGTATAACGATTGAAATTTAGTCGAGTAATTAATTAGGTAACGGTTTCAAATTTCTCATTATTATTATGTATCGTTATTCCGGGCAATTATTAGTATCGGGCGAATGTAACAGATCGGTGTAAGCAAAGGTACAGTCCCGTTTCTAATGAACCTAAGAGAAGGAAAGGAAGAAGGGTTTGGTAATTCCACTGACGTCGGAAAAGAAGAAAGAAAATAGCTCGGGGGTGCAACCGATTCTGTCCAATCGGACAATCCGAAATTGTCTGCGCCGACAGCGCGATCGATGAATCAACGATATACGTATTCCGGTTAACCGTGAAATGCCGGCGAGTCGATTTTCTTTCTTATACCGGCCGCGGTAATAGAACGCGTGACGACAGAAACTAGTTTCGTAAGCAGGGCTCGCCTGCCGTCATTTCAAGGTTAATTGCGATTGTCTGATATTTCACGAAAAAAGGACACGCATAGGCCTAAAAGATACGAGGAAAATATTTGACGCGTAAACGAAAGTCATCGTTCAGACGATTCATCTATCTTTCGAAAGAAGTGGAAAAAAAAAGCAAATAAAGTAACTTGTCGTTGATATCCCGATTTCAACAGCTTCATCGTGCCCCTCGTTAGTCGTTCTCTAATCGAATCAAATTCATCCTCCTTCTTTTTCTTCTTTTTTTCCCGTTTAACTGTTTCTTTACTTTTATTATTAGAGTATCGTTATCATTAATCATTATCGTTATACTGCTTCACTACGGTTGGTTGATCTTGGACGTGGATCTGGATGGAGTGTGGTGTATCAAATGCGCGGTGGAAGAGAGAAAAAAAGCTCCGTCGCTTGATTTCCTCTTTCTCTTTCTCTTTCTCTGTTTTCCTTCCATCGTCCTCGAGCCGAGAACGAGGACCCGCTTTCCTAGTATGACTGGACTTTGTATGTTCCGGAAAAAAATACCATTTCTCGTCCTCGTTCTCTTCGATCGGTATCTAGAAAAGTATCTTTTCTCGTCCTCGTTCTCTTTTTTTAATCTCTCCGTTTAGTTACATCTCTTTGACAGTCTTCTCAGGAAAAGAAGGTACTGGCCTGTCGATCTGGACATCGACAGATTCTTTAAGGTATTTGTTCGTTTGCCATCTTTAGTTGTGTCTTGTCCGTTTTCGTGAGCTTTTAAGGCGCTTTTTCTCGTTCTTGCTCTCCCTCTCTTTCTCTCTCTCTCATTCTCTCTCTCTCTCTCTCTCTCTCTCTCTTTCGTCCTGACGTGAACGTTTGACAGATAGGATTATTCGCGATCGGGCGCGT